CAGTGTGTGTGTGTGAGAGAGAGAGTGAGAGAGACAGTGTGTGTGTGTGAGAGAGACAGTGTGTGTGTGAGAGAGAGACAGTGTGTGTGTGAGAGAGAGAGAGTGAGAGGGACAGTGTGTGTGAGAGAGAGAGTGAGAGAGACAGTGTGTGTGTGAGAGAGAGTGAGAGAGACAGTGTGTGTGTGAGAGAGTGAGAGAGACAGTGTGTGCGTGTGAGAAAGAGTGAGAGAGACAGCGTGTGTGTGAGAGAGAGAGTGAGAGGGACAGTGTGTGTGTGAGAGAGAGAGCGAGAGAGACTGTGTGTGTGAGAGAGACAGTGTGTGCGTGTGAGAAAGAGTGAGAGAGACAGTGTGTGTGAGAGAGAGAATGAGAGGGACAGTGTGTGTGTGACAGAGAGAGAGTGAGAGAGACAGTGTGTGTGTGAGAGAGAGAGAGTGAGAGAGACAGTGTGTGAGAGAGAGAGAGAGACAGAGTGAGTATGAGTGTGTGGGCGATGGCTGCCCTGGTTAAATAGTTGCTGCCTCAGAGTGTCCAGCCTAAGCCTATTAGGTTAGGTGTTGGGGTCTTCACAAGCTGCAGGAGCAGCTGTACGAGGTGGGGTCATCGGAGGCCGAAGGTGCTCAAAGAAACTCACCCGCTGTTTCCCGACTGGTCGCAGCTATTCCAGGGTCTTCCTCCTCCTCCTGAAGTGTACTGAGGGGCTCGCTGATGTCTATAACACAATGGCTACAGAGTTACTGCTGCAGTGGGGGGCCTGGGGAACAAGAACAGAGCCCACCACAGCCCACCCGTTCCCACTTCAGTACCCGAGTGTGGGAAACCCCATTGGGGTCTCTCATTCTCCATTCACTGTCTGTCTCTCTCTCTCCCCCTCTCACGCACACAAACCCTCCAAGTCTGTGCCGAGAGAGAGAAAGCAAAACAATCAGTGGCACGGAGAGGGGTGAGTGAGAGAGAGAGTGTGCGCGAGAGAGGGAGGGTGTGTGAGTGAGAAAGAAAGAGAGAGAAGGAGAGGGATACGAGAGAGAGAGAGAGAAAGGGAGATGAGATAGCATGAGAGACAGAAGGCTCGAGAGTGAGAAAGAGGATGTGTGCGTGAGAGAGAGAGAGAGATAGAGATAGAGAGAGCAAACGAGAGGGTCATGAGAGAGAGAAAGAGAGGAGGCTCAAGACAGAAAGGACATGAGAGACAGAGAAAACGAATGAGAGAAGGGGTTCAAGACAGAAGAAGTCACAAGACATAGACAGAGAGAGAGTCACAAGACAGAGGGAGAGTAGAGAGGGGGAAAAAGAGACAGAGAGAAAATATCCCACATCCATGTCAAAGGCTGAATGGTCCCTCAAGAGACCCTGGAGGTTTGATAGGGGCCTTTCAACATTGCAGCGCATGCTGGGATAGCCTCGCCCCCACTGATGCCTCTCCCTCTTTGCTTTCTCTCTCAAACCCTCTTGGACTATGAAGAGAGAACAAAAAAGACTGGAGAGAGGAGAGGGTAAGACAGAGGGGGCTGCGAGTGAGAGGGAGAGCCGATGAAAGAGAAGTGCAGGCAAGAAAGAGAAAAGGAGAGGATGGCACAAGAAAACGGGCAGAGCGAAAAACAGAAGGCAAGAGAACGAGGGCATCAGACAGAAAAAGGTGAGACAGAGAGAAGATACAGAGGAGAGAGTGAAAGAGGGTAAATTAGATTGAGAGAGGAGATGAGCAAGAAAACATGAAATAGAAATAGAAAGGGAGAGAGACAGACAGAACATGAGGGGAAGAAAGGGCATGAAAGAGAAAACACTTGAGAGAGAACAGAGGCGGGGGGGATGAGAGAGAACAGAGAGGGGGGGATGAGAGAGAACAGAGAGGGGGGATGAGAGAGAACGGGAGGGGGGATGAGAGAGAGTAAGAAACAGAGGACATGAGAGAGAGAGAGAAACAGAGTGCACTTAGTGAGTGAGGCAGCACACACACATTGTCTCTCACTCTCTCTCTCTCACACACAAACGTTTGTACGTTCAAATGTAAGTTAGCTGCACCTTCTATTATCCTACACACGCCAAGGTGATGATCTGATCTACAATGCCACTTCACCTGTGCCCATCAACACTGACGTCCCGCCTGTGATGGGGCATCAGAGGGAGCAGTGCACTCGGAAAACAGGCACAAAACACACACCTAATGAGCATGCAGAGTGCAGCAGGAACACCACTGGATGGTCTGTGTTAGATATGGGAAGGAATAGGTCGGAGGATGTGTACAGTCACAGCTCCTGGATGGTGCAGCCCACCGTTACCAGGAGTAGCATTAACCTCTGCCTGTCACCCATTGTTATTCTCTCCAATATTAAACATACCAGCCTGTCACCCCCTCCCCAATCATTAATAAAACATTTCAGCAGGCCATGAGACACATGCATTGTGGTGGTACCACCGTAGTCGAATAGTTGGCCGAGACACTCACTGCCAAGATGGCTGGGTGAGGCACCAGGGTATCCACCAGCCCATTTAGAATGGCACCACAGCTCATCAGTACCTTACAGAACATTAGGAGCAGAGAAGAGGATGCTAGGGCTTGCTTAGGCAGCATCTGTACTCCAGAGAATAAAGTAATGGGGTAGGTTTGCAGACGGGCTGAATGCCAGTGAATAAGGTAATGGGATAGGTGTATGGAGGGGGCTGCACTCCAGAGAATAAGGTAATGGTGTGGGATTCCAGGGAATAAGGTAATGGAGTGGGATTACAGAGGGGCTGCACTCC